ACATACTTTCATCATATTAACTTATGAACTCCTGAACTCAAACTCATCAGCTCAGAATGAGGTTGGGCAAAGGGTCTTTAAAAAAAAAAAAAAGAAGACACAGGCACACAGTACTTATTTATTCCTTCTTTGCTGTTCCCAGGTTTAATAAATCTGATTAACTGTTCCTCATTTACAAGTCCTCATTGATGCTTCCTAATACAGGCACAACTACCCATTCCGTTGCTGATACTCCCAATTTCTGGTAAATCTCTTTCAAAAAGAAAAGTAATGAAATGATTTTAAGCTACAAAATAATTTATTTTTAAGATCAGACAGTGGGTAAGGAAGTAAGATTCAACACTATTCAACTAATGGAAAATGCTTATTGCTGAGTGAGTGGTGTTTGGCAGACCTCCAGAATTCTTCTGCAATGCACAGCAAGACACCAACAAGTACTCCTAAAGCACACTTTTGGATCGCAGGCGATCTCTGATCACTTTAATATGAAATTATAATCGGAATGCTTTTGTCACTGCAGGAGAAGAGCAGACTTCCTGCACCAAGGATCACTTGAGTCAGCCACAGTGCTATGAAATAATTGTCAATCGCAAATTCCACTCAAGGACATAGGAGAAGAAAGGCATGCCTCACTCCTGGGAAACGTGAATATATTTTAATATAATCCTATCAGATGTGATAACCAATGACTAATGGACAAATAATAAGCCTGTCCTTCCAAGTATCTCTATTATAGCTAAAAACAATTTTAGCAGAACCTTGAATCAAAGTTACCAGCTTAACAAAATGTGGTTAAGGTTTGAGAGCGATCGCCCGCTTACCTTCTCTCAGATCACCTCCAAAACGGAAGAGATTGGTTCTTTGTGAAAACCTTATTCTCCTTCCCACCAAGGACTTCTTAGTTCTCCCTCTTAACCTTGCCTCTTATGGAGGTACAGCTGAAGGGGTACGAGTAAGATACTAGCATTCCATATGGGATCACACATCAGTAAAACGGTTTATAATTATCTGCAATGGTCAGCACTGATCTTGAAGTTCTCAATCCAAAGACATAAAAAACACTTCTTGCAAAACATAATTTACGGTTCACAGAAGAAACAAGCGGCTCTGAAAGTCCTATCCCCAGTGCCCACCACTGAACAGCCTCCATAAAAATCTACTGAGTGTTAGGACGCCTGGGTGGCTCAGTTGGTTGGACGACTGCTTTCGGCTCAGGTCATGATCCCGGAGTTCCGGGATCGAGTCCTGCATGGGCTCCCAGCTCCACAGGGAGTCTGCTTCTCCCTCTGACCTTCTCCTCGCTCATGCTCTCTCTCACTGCCTCTCTTTCAAATAAATAAATAAAATCTTTTTAAAAAAATCTATTGAGGGTTAAAACCATATACCAGGCACTGTGCTAAGTAGGCAATGGGAAATCACCATGCCTAAGATAGTCTTGGCTCTCAGAGACTAATGCCTTAGGGGAGACTTGACTGGCAATGGGATTTTTAAGAGTGGAAAACAGGCCAGCCTAATAACCTTAAGAGCCTGGGAATGGCCAGATGGTCACCTGGCCGGCCTCCCTGCAACACTCCGGTCTCTGCTCACGGGGCCTTCAATAGATAACCATTTCTGGGAGGGAGGGCCTCCTCCTACCAGTGAGGTCCACACTCTGGATATTTATATGAGGTTTCTCCCACCCAGAAAAGCACCAACCCCATAAAAACCAGAAGTCAAACTAGTTGTAAAAAATCAGTAACTACTGAAGAATTCTGAAATCTCTGATGCCACAAAGAAAAAATACTTAGACAACAATGCTAGGAAATTATTTTTAGCCACTACTCTCTTTATGATGCATCCTAGAGCTTTTCTTCAGGAAACTCATAGAGCTTTTCTATTTTACAATGTTCTCTCGTCAGTGCTAAGTCATTCAAATAAAGAGCATAACTTAATCTCTGTGGAAAGGACCGATAACACATAACCCCTAAGAACTCCTAAGAACTCTTTTCTGTACTGGCTCTAAAGCAGCTATTTTTTTAAAAAGTTTCCGTGGAGCTGGGATAGTTACAAAGTGAAACTGGTACAGCTTGAGCAAATTCAGGACAGATCCCCCTTCAATGGTAGCCCAGAAGAGCAGAAGATTCGCAACAGGTACTTTACAAATACTTACAGTTCTTAAAAACCTGCTCTGGGTATCCACTGTGATGGATGCAAAACCCACCAAGCAACTCAAGACGGGCTCAAGTCTTAAGGGAGAGCCACATGGAAGGAGTCTGAGCTCCACTGAACCAGCAGATGCCAGAAAAAGTAGCTGTATGGAAGAGATTATTTCTTTTTTTTTAAGATTTTATTTGTTTATTTGACAGAGAGAGATCACAAGTAGGCAGAGAGGCAGGCAGAGAGGGGGTGGGGGAAGCAGGCTCCCTGCCCAGCAGAGAGCCCGATGTGGGTGGGACTCCATCCCAGGACCCTGAGATCACGACCTGAGGTAGAGGCTTAACCCACTGAGCCACCCAGGTGCCCTGGAAGAGAGAATTTCCATTTTATCCTGCTATCGTCTGAAAAATCTAATCTAGGTACATTATGAACTTTTTACTCCACCAAACCCTGTTCTAAACCTGAAGTGGAGGAAATCGATTTTGGAAATCTTCCAAAAAGATGAATCTAGTTAGTCCCGATCAATAAACGGCAAACTAGCAGATAGCTGACGGATTCTTTCATGTGCTTCTTTTTGCCTGTTTATTTTCTGCAATGAGCAAGCATTGCTTTTGTAAAAACAAAACAAAAAAGCTTTCATTAAAAAAAAAAAAAAAAAAAGAAAGACACACACAAAAAAACCTAATGACACGAAAGCCAACAAGTAGGACAACTATTATTTTTTTTTCACTTTCTCTAAACAATAACCATGTTGTGTTTGTGCAGATTCAACTGGCAGGGAAGTACTGATGAACAGATACCTGGGTCAGATGTGTTCTAGCCACTGGTAAGGTGCTTTTCGTTGTAAACAATCCTCTCTCAGGGTCACTGGCCCCTCACTAAGTGCTTCACGGCAGTGTCAGAGCTTCGAGTTATGTTTGAGCAAAGTCTCCCTGGCCCCCTGGCAGAAGGGCTATGGAGGTGGTCTTCTGTGCTATGTGGACAACAGCCCTGGATCGGAGACTCTGAGACATGTGATATCAGGACCCCTTCCTCACTTACCCACTGAGGACTTCAAAGAGCTTTGGTTCATGTGCATTCTGTCTACTGGTATTTACAATGTTTGAAATTAAAAATGAGAAGTGAATGAAACACAACATCAGAGCCATCAGTGCTGATGTCATTCCACATCATGAAGCCTCTGGAAAACTCCACTGTACACGGGTGAGAGTGTGAGTGAAAACGACAAATAACTTCTTGGTGTTCTTTCAGAAATAAGTTTTTATCTGACAAGCACCCCCTCCCAAAGCTCCCTGAGAGTCACTAGGTGAGATCACCAAGAACCCTTCCCGCACAGTCGCTCTGGAGCGAGACTGCTCGACTTTACCACTACTGACATTCTGAAGTGGGTAATTCTTTTTTGGGGTGGGGGGAGCCTATGTGGAGCACTGTAGGATTCTTAGTAGCATCCCTACCCTCTACCCACCAGATGCCAAACATAATCCCCTGATGGGACAACCAAAGATGTCTCCAGATATTGCCAAATGTCCCCTGTTTGAGAATCCACTATTTCAGGGCGCTGATTTTATTCTACCAAAATACGAACTGCAGAATGCGCACCTCACTGCCTTCTCAGACCCCAAATAGCTCTATTTCCTCGCCACTCCCATCTGGGTCTGTCCTTTGGGTTTATTTGGTCACAAACAGCATGTCAGTGGAGAGCAACAAGCACAGGATGAACCAGGTCAGGAAGAGACATTCTGGTCAAAGTTCACCTTTCGGGCATTACAGCCCTGGGGACCCAGTCATCTTTGGGCAAGGGCAGGTAAAATACAAATCGGCCAACATTCATCCAGCCATTCTTATGACTGGGTAACAACCCAGTCTTTGGCAAGTTACCTATCTTCCTCCTCCAAAAAATGAAGTAAAAGGCCAGTTGTGCCACTGAGAAGAAAAAGGGCTTCTGAAGGCAGAAGGCACGACTCAGATACACCACTCGCAAAACCTCACATCTGGGAGGTCCTCCCAACCGAAATACCTGCAGACTTTTTTAAGGATTTTAGTTGTTGTTTTTAATCAGGATCTGGCTGGGAGAAAATAGCAAAACTGACATGAAAACGACATCCTCAACACCTCCAAGTCAGATCTCCGCTCCCCATTGAAGTTCCCCCTCATCCCTTTAGTCTCCTTTAGTCCGAGTTTTTCCCCCCTGGAAATTGCCCCGGGGCCACCTTAGGTCCCTACCCCTCAAAACTCCAACTAACAAACTCAAATCCAGCATCTCCTTCCACGCCTCTTTATTCACCCTTTCTCCACGGCCTCAAATTCCCACCCACAAACCGCCCCCCCAGCCCTCTCGCTGTCCCCCCGACTCTACTGTCATATCTACCCGTACCCCTCTCCTTCCCCCAAGCTTCTTCATGCAGGCGACAGTCTCGTCCCTCCCCAATTTTCGTTCTCATCCCATAGTTGCCCACCATCTTCAAAACTCTTCTCTGGTCCTAAGAAACCAGGACTCTCCTAATGGTCTCGACCACCCCAGAATCAATCGCACATACGTCCGCTCTCCACTCCTCAGTATCTTCCCCAAGTTACTCTTCCTACCCAGGTCGGCTCCACGCCTCGCTCTTCCCCACCTACTCCCTCAGCGCCCACCCCCCCTTACTTGCCCCTTCTCTCTCTCCCGGGCCCTTCTTCCCCGCCATCCCTCGGTCAGGCCTTCTCTAGGTCACAGCTCGCCTCCTCGGCCAAGCGCCGCCGCCCAGTGTCAGCTGCTCAGCCTCTCACCCCCGCCCTGCCCCGGACCAGTCTTTCAGGTTGTGGCCTTTGAACTGGGCTCCCCGGGCTCAGGCTGAGGGACACAGCAGGAGGGCCCGACAACTCACCCAGGACAAGGCACAGCAGAACGAGCCCAGAGCCCGGAACCGGGGAGAGGCGGAAGCACACCATGATTCCGCAAAGCAGGCGGCGGCTGGTCGGAGTAGAGGTGGCGGCGGCGACGGCTACAGCAGCAGCGACACCCGGGGAAAGGCTTGCCGGAATCCAGCAGAGTGCACCGCAGACCACCGACCACAGCACTGCCAACGCCAGGACTCGGCGCTTCAGCGCGGGTCATAAGACTAGGGGCGGGGTTTTTTCTTGCTTTTAGCCAATCTCCGCGCTTGAAAGCGGCAAGAGGGGTGGTGATGTAGGGGCCGGTGGGCGGGGCGACCACGCCCTGGCTTTTTGGTTCACAACCATTCTTATGCGCCTAAGAGACATGTGCGGTCGGGCTTTTTCTAAGGCTTAAGAGAGAGGATTAACTTTTCGTGGTGTAGGTAGTGAGTTCATTTCAGTTCCAACCCCTTGAGGAGGAAGAGAATAATTTTGTTAAATTAAAAAGGTTGCTAAGCATCACAACGTAATATATATAAAAGTAATACACAATTATTCCAAGAACACTGTTGTTATCCCTGCAGTTCATGAGATTAGATGGATAAGGGAGCTGGGGGTAGTGCGCGGTGGCGGACCTCCAGACCAAGATGTGGCCTTGAAGGTTGCCTAGTTACAAAGCCCTGTTTTTGCAGATGGAGGAGGAATTGAACTCAGAAAGAAGAATCTTCTTGAAATACAAGAAAGAAAATAGGAAAGAGAGAAGTAAGATAGGAGGATAAAGGGGGGAAAAAATCATCCATATTCCCACTATCCAGAGAGATGGCTATCTATCTATCCTTCCAGTTGTTTTTCCACATTTCCACATAGGAATATATTCTTTAATGAGTTTGTACTAAACCTACTATTTGGTACACTTGACAAGTGAGCAGATGAAAACTAAAATAGTCAATAAAGGAAAGCGTTCAAAAACTACTAAAAAATCTCAAGTTGAGATAAAGCACTAATTCTCAAATATGAGTGTCCGAAAGAGCCATCTAGGGAGTTTTAATATCACACGGACTTCTATACCTCATTCACGGAGATTCTGAAACAGTAGGTCTCTGGCTGCCCTTGGAATCTGCTTTTTGAACAAACACCCCAGGTGATTCCGATTTCTATGGTTCCTGGACTACACTTTGAGAAACACTAAAAAATCGAGCCCCAAAAGCAACTGATCCAAGAGATCTTAATCTGGTGTCAATGGATGAACTTGCCCAGAGTGGGGGAGGGTAGAGGGGACCATCTATGAATCTCCAGAAATTACTTGCAACATTTATGTATGTGTATATTTCAGGGGGAGAAGGGCTATAGCTTTTGCCCGGTCTCAAGTGGGACCTGTGAGTCCTCACCCTAACACCCACCTCTGCTCAAAAATTAAGTTATTGATATATCCTGTCACTTGCTTTAATACGGTTAATTCCTGAAAGTGCGAATACTTATTCACGAATGTCTTCTTCATGGGTGCAACTGAGTCATGAGCAGCAGACTTGCTCTATGAGAAACTAATGTAGGCTACAGTATCAGGCAATGCTTTGAGCAAAGGAAGGTAATTTGACTGTCCTACCACCAGCAAGACTTGAAAGGAGCCACGTCCTGGAGAATCCTTGATTGAGTGGAGTCCTTACAAGTTTCCCCACCCATTCTTACTGATGGACTCTGTCCCTTCTCCCTCAACTGTAAATCACCTAACTACAATGTTCAGCAAAACTCCAAGTTCTAGAAGAAGACACGAAAAAGCATAGTGGAAAGAACATTGGATGGGCAATCAGAAGAGTCAGGGGTGAGATACCATTTCCTGGCAGCGTGACCTTGGGCAAATCACTTCATCTCTTTTAGTGTGTGTGCTGCCAACGTGAGTGCAAGTCACTTCATCTCTTTAACTTCTGTGTTTTTACCCATAAAATAAAAGTGAGACCAGAGCAGTTTCTCAATCCTGGCTGCATTGGAATAACTGGTGGAACCTTAAGTTGCCCCTTGGTCTCAGCCCTTGACTCTATTCGGATTCAGTTGGTAGGGAGTGGGGCCTGGGCATTGTTTTTTTTTTCTCAGAACTCCCAAGGTCAATGTTAATGGGCCAGAGATGATCTCTAAGGTGGTCCCAGCTAAGATTCTATAAGAATAAATGTTCATTGTGTTCCTGGGTGGCTCAGTTGGTGGCAAATGCCTTTGGCTCAGGTCATGATCCTGGAGTCCTAGGTTGGAGTCCCATATCGGGCTCCCTGCTGGACAGGGAGTCTGCTTCTCCTGCGGACCTCTCTCCTTTCATGCTCTCTCTCTCTCACTCACTCAAATAAATAATAAAATCTTTTTTAAAAAAAGAATAAATGTTCATTTATTGAAAATATAAGGAAACAGTGTCGCAATTAGTCCAATGTCCGGTTTAATAAATCATTGCCCTTAACTTTCTGCAGGTATCATCGAATAAAAAAATGGAAGACAGTGAGATCTAAACAGCCTTGTAAGCTAAACCTCCCCGTCACAACCTCTCCCCCTGACCAAAAATAAACATTAGTTCCCTGACTGGGACGGGAACCTCACGGGACAGAAAAATGTTTTTGAACTAAGTAAATGGTGGGTGTGTTGTTAGAATGAATCAATTAAACATTGTCAAATCTTCATTTGGTCTGAGCTTCCTTACCACCATTTTCTATGAAACACTGAGAACCACTCCCTTTCGTAGGCAGGAACTATGACCCCAGCCCAGCTGAAGGAGCTTAGCTTGTGAGTGGGACCAGCATCCGTGTTTGAGAAACTCTATGAGATCCCTTCCCCTCTGAGCTTCACATCTGGTGTCATGATTGTTGATACTGCTGAATCCCGAGCGCTTTTATGTGCACTTCCTCTCCTACCACACCGCCTACTTCCCCAGTGTGCAGAAATCCTCAGCACACCCCTCCCCACCCTCTACCCCCATAGGTAGTTCATGACTCTTTTTTTAAAGTTTTTATTTATTTATTCGTTTAAGCAAGCTTTACATCCAACATGGGGCTCGAACTCACGACCCTGAACTCAATGGCCTCATGCTTGACTGAGCCAGCCAGGTGCCCCTGTTTATGACTATTTTTAATTTTTTTTTTCAAGATTTTATTTATTCATTTGACAGAGAGACACAGTGAGAGAGGGAACACAAGCAGGGGGAGTGGGAGAGCGAGAAGCAGGCTCTCCAATGAGCAGGGAGCCCCATGCAGGACTCGATCCCAGGACCCCGGGAATCATGACCTGAGCTGAAGGCAGACGCTTAACAACTGAGCCACCAGGTGCCCCTATGACTCTTTTTTAAAAAAAATCTTCTTCAGGAAGAAGATTTTATTTTTAAGTAATCTCTACACCCAGTGTGGGGTTCGAACCCACAACTGCGAGATCAAAAGAGTCGCACGCTCCACTCACTGAGCCAGTCAGGCACCCATATGACTCTTTTGAGCAGCTTTGAGAGCTCATGGCTTTTTGGCCAGGGAGCAGGGCATCGCTGGCGAACACATCCCTAAGTGTGAACACTCTTAATGGCATGAGAAATAATGGTCCCATCAGATTTGGTAAATGACAGACAATGAAATGTGTGGCTCAGAGGAAGGAAATAGATGTAAAGATACAGAGATTCAGAACGGGAAAGTGATAAATGTTTATGAAACCCAGGGAGTACAGTCGATGATGGTATTGTGATAGTGTTGTACCGGGTCAGATGGTAGCTACGCTCGTGGTGAGTGTAACATAATATAGATTTGTTCGATCACTATGTTGTACACAGGAAACCAATGAAAATTGTGTGTCAACTATACCTCAACTTAAAAAGAAAAGTTTTGGGACACCTGGGTGGCTCAGTCGGTTGAGTGTCTGCTTTCTGCTCAGGTCAGATCCCAGGGTCCTGGGATCGAGCCCCGCATCTGGCTCCCTGCTCAGCGGAGAGCCTGCTTCTCCCTCTCCTCCCCGCTTGCACTCTCTCTCTCTCCCTGTCTGTCTCTCTCAAATACATAAATGCAATCTTTTTTTAAATTTACAAAAAATAAAAAGTTTTCTCAGAAAAAAAAAGGTTGATGAAATAAATGAATGAGTGGCCCTGGGGTATCAGTGTCACCTCCCGGCCATCCTATGGTTGTTTTATTTGCTTTCTCGCTCTGCCATCTTTCCTTTCCCTAGCCCTCCTCCCTTAAGTTTCTCCTCCACTCTGTTTTCCATTTTCACTTTAGCATGTCCCCTTTTCTGGATCATGCCTCCCAACTGTGATAATACGGTCCTCACTCGGCGCCAACAGAGGTCACCGTGGACTCAAGAAGCTGCCAACCTTTGAGCCCGAGCTCTCTGGGTGAATGGAGACATGCTGTTTTGAGTTCTTAGTTTCCGCCAGCGGGATTCTTCTTGACCACCCCCCTAAAGGTATGGTTTTACCTGCTAAAACGAAATGGTTTGAGCACGCATCAAAATAACCAAAAGAACCTTTTAAATCACAGATTGCTAAAAAAAAAAAAAAATCGATCAATCAATCACTCAATCACAGCTTACTGAGCCCCACCATGGAGTTTGAGCAGGTCTGGGGTGAGGCACAAGAGTCTGCTTTTCTAGCAGCTTCCCAGACGATCCTGCTGCTGCTGTTTTGGAAACCACACTCTGAATAGTGAGGTCCCAAACTCGCATCTGTGGCTACCTATCCTCCGGGGAGTGGAATTGAGAGGTGGGGGAGGGGGAGCAGAAGGGACTTTGATTAACTTCGGCAGTATTTAATTTACATTTTTACAGCAATTGCATTGTTTTTGCAATAATGATTTTTAAAATTTTTTTTAAATTTTATTTTATTTTGTTAGTGTTCCAAGATTCATTGTTTAATAATGATTTTAAATTAATAAATGCAAATTATTTAAAACGTCAAAAATTTAAAAAGGGATAAAACCAAAAGAAAACATCCTTTCCCCTTCCTTAAGCCCCAGTCATACTCCTCAGAGTAATAACTGTTAACGTTATTTCTTAATGCTCTCAGGAAAAAATTATTCATGTACCTGCATATGTATTTATATTCTTTTTTTAATTAGACAAATAAGAGCATGCTCTACACATTGCTTACTGACTTGCTTTTCTCACTTAATGGCATATCTTGAAGATATTTCTTAAAAGCCATATAGCTCTATCTGATCCTTTCAAATGGCTGCTTAATATTTAATTGCGTAG